GGCAACAAGAGTATAACAAGAGTATAATTTAATTTCCTGCTGTATGACAGAGTTAAAAAACAAACACATCTCAGTTTCTCTGAAGAAATTAAAATTAATGGTTCTGAAATGGGGCTTGTGAGATGAACACTTCCTGATGCTATATAACAGCTTAGATTTGAGTCCAGGCTTTGGAGGTGACCTTACCTCTACAGGGAGACAGTGTACCACCCCAGCACCTGCCACTTGCAGGGACTGTCCAACTGTGTATCTTGAACTAAGCTTCCTGATTTGTAAAATTCTTCCTTAGCAAAACCACCAAGTAATAACTGTGCAGGTCATGCAAGCAGAGCAGGTGCAACATTTTTTTGACAGTCCTAAGGGTCATAGATCACTATGAGGAAGAGAATTTCTGCGGCTGTTGTGAATTAAACTGGGTAGCAATTACTGCCAGGGTGTTGAGGGATTTCAACTGGCGCAGAAAACTAAAGGAATTCTTGTTCTTTGTAGATCAAGAAAAGTTTGATACTACTTCCGGGGGGAAATCCAAAGTCATCTTGGAAACGATGCAATAGGAAGCTGAAAAATCTTTATAATCCTCTGTGCTTCAATTTTTAAGCTCTCTACTCTGCAAGAATGGAGAAAATTCCACGTACAACATACCTACGCTTAGGGTCAAAATTTCCTGAAAGTGATCATTTATTTTTAGCTGTACATACCAACTGTTTTTGTTTACTGTACAGCTTTTGTTTTGCTATGCAGAATGTTTATCATTTTCATTCTTGTCCTTCACAGTATGTGCTAATCCACTCTATTTCATGCCATCATTTAAAACTGCACTCATAGTTTGGTGTCCAATGTCCTAATTTCTCCAGTCTGACCACTGGCAAGTATGTTTCAATTTGGTCATACGCTCTACTGGCAGAGATACACTTAAAAAAATTAAACCTGCAGCTATCTTTTGTGGTAACAGCTGTCTGAGATGAACTAGCTTGAAATAATAGACATACAAACCAGGAGGAGGATACAAAATACAATACAGAAAACAATTTTGTAACTTAATACATACTGCTGGAGTGAAGTCCTTATTCCAATGTCACCCGTACGCCACGTATTACACACTTGAAGCTGTAACACCTTCACTTTCATGCACCATCGAGGTAATTTTCTCAGTCCTACTTTGGTGTGATGCTATCCCTTAGGTATTAAGCGTTGTCGTACTTTCCTAAAACATATGAAAGCTGCAAGTGCTTACATCTCTCCTTAATATGTCAGTGGGATGCCTAGTGCTGATGTGCACCACTTGCAGCCCTAGCTCGCCTGGAGCTCACATTGTGAGTTCACAGCCCTGTGCTTTCCCTCCTGCACATGGGTCTTAGTTGCTGTTCTTCCATTGATCTCGCTTCCCATGGCTCCTGCAGCTGCAGCATCAGAACTGTTGGTACAGTTCCAGTGACTAATTCCTGCATGACTTCCCAGAATATCATGGATGTGTCCACAAGGAACATGCTTTCAGAAAATACCCTGCAAAATGTACCTGCATCCTAGGGCACCAGAAAGGTCAAAATGCACCTGCACCCTGGGACCCCCAGTAACACCCATTGTCACATTGCTTTGAAAAAATTACAAACTGGCAGAAGGATTGTATAACTCCAAGGGCAGCCAAGTGACAATCCTATGAGAAATAGCCTATCACATAAAGTGTCCTCATTACCCGCTCTGTTACTTTCTGCCATTTACAAATGATGGAGCCACCTGGCTACTCTCAAGAAAGTTCTATTGTCCTTCCTCTTGTCACGGTGACATATTTGTCTTATATTCATCAGGTGATGGTATTTCTGTCACATCTGGGAAGGTATTGAGAGGAGAGACCTGGCAATGCATAACATCCAGTTGCATTCTGTGCTGCTTGTATAGAACATTCTGATCTTCACATATTGAAACAGCACAAAGCATATGGAAATTTTGGTGTGCATTTGGATTTTCTTTGCTTTGTTGGTGAAACATAGTGTCACCCATAACCAGCCCTTGACAATGGTTTGGCAAAAGAGAAACATGGGCTGTATGAAAAAAATCAATATTGAAACTGCTTCAAGGTACCCCTAGAAAAATTTATTTATTGAGGTCTGAAATAGTTTAGTAAAAAGACAGCAAAATTATAGCAGAAAAATTCTTCCTTCTGTGAGTTTGGAAACACTGAAAGATGTGTGGAGGTTTTACTCTTTGCTTGCTGTGCTCTTGTCTTCCACAGATACTCTGTTGTTTCATGCCATGTGCCTACAGTGCTTAATTATCTACCAAGCCCTGGCCTCCATACTGGGGTGACACAAGGAAGAGTGAAGAAAGAGCAGCTTAGATTCTCTTTTCTCTAACCTCACAGCAGAAATTCATGTATATACGAGACAATGGAGAAAAGCTAACCTGAAGAGTAACTGCTACAAATACATTTAACATATTTGTCCCTGAAAGAAAGGAGGGGAGAAAGACTGTTTGCATTGCAGCAGTGCCACTGGCTCATTAACAAGTGGAATTAATAAATGTCCTGACCACTCCACTGCAGGGGAATCAACAAGCAGAGATGCAATCTCATCCCTGATGTCTAGCTCATTTTATTTCTCTGTGGAGTCCTGCACATGGCACAAGATTTCCTACTGATGTATTTGAGAAGATCTCCACCTCACTCCTAGGGCTTCTTGGTCCTTTCCCCTCCTCCATCCCTGGAATGCTGTCATTCCATATGTAGTCAATGTATTATAAATACTATGAGGAAGAAATGCCTAGTCTAGCAGCCAGTCTACTGTGATTCAGAACCTGATTACAGAAGGTTAAAAAATGACCCACAGTTGTAAAGCTCAACATTTATTAAGGAGTTGTTTCCTTCAGGGAAGAGATTAATTGATGTTTGCCCTTAGAAAACACACGAAGAAAACTTGTCCCTGCGAGAATGCTGTGAGCATGCAGAAATACTAGCTTCAAAAAACAAGCTGCATGCATTGCACGAGAGGCTGGAAGTGACTGCCTCTTGGCTTCCCAAGAAATGTCACTGCTCTCAGTAGCAATTGCAGTATGACAGCGTAAGTGTCAAAGAAGTATCCTGTAGCTTTTTCACTGTCATCCTTTTTCAGTAGAGGGCTCATGCTGCACGCTGAATTGCACGTTATGCCTAGGTTATCTGGTGAGTTCAGTCCTTCACCCTCATGTCTCCCACAGTACTTTCTGATGGAGAAATTTACTCTTCCCAACTGTTCCATATACAAAAACTTTAATACAGCAGTCTGCTCTGGACCATTCACTTCAGTTAATTGTTACGATGGGTCTCTCTAAGTCATGTGGGATTGTTTGTAATGTGTCATTGCATCACCCAAATTATTCAGGGAAAAGAATGATGAGTGGTTTGTATCCCAGTGAATAGCAAATACTGCTATTCTTATGCCAATCTTAGGCTTGGGCTTTGCATCAGTGACAAGCCTATTTGATGACAATAAAGGAAGGGGAATGGGAGAAAATGGCCAAGGAGAGTATCTTTGTTTTCTGCCCCTCCTTCCAGTCTCCCTGGAATGTGAGGAGTAGCACTGAACAAAGAGAAAGCACTTAAAGCATTGAGGCAGACTGATACCTTTGTGATAAGCTGCTTTTCTGCTCATTTCAAAGGACAGTGGTCCAGTTTTTCTCATACTTTTTAACGTGATAAAGATCAGATGTCCAAAAGTGTCACCAATTTGACTGGGTCTGTGCTCAGTTTGACTAGATAACTAAATTTAGGAGCCACCTGGGTCAGCAGATGATAGACAGCAGTTGTGGAACCTGTTAAAGAAGACAACATAATACTCTCCTCTGTGCACCTTAGCCAGGAAAGGAGCTCACCCATACATTTCCCCAGAGATTTGTCCAGGAAGTTGGGAATAGGAATAGTAGGAGAGCTGGTACTGGTTATTTTTTTTTTTTCCCTCTGTTTTATCCTTTATCTTTTAGAGTAAATCTGGGAGTCATCCAAAGCAAAGAAAGAAGTCTCTACTCTGCCTGTACTTCTGAGTGGCCAGCTGAGGACACAGATGACTTTCTAAACTCTTCTTTCTGTTCACAGACGATGTAACACTTCATCACCTCACTATCTCTAAACCTATCATGTTAGGCATCAGAACTGCAAAGTAAGTGCCCACTGGTTTACTCTAAGTACTGCATACACAAGATTCAGCTTCCTTCCATACTGTTTCTGTGTAGTTTACCTGAATAGCCTTAAAAATGCAGAGCCATGCTGCTTTAGTTTTCAATCTATTTAATTGTAAAATTTATATTTAATATGTAATCTGTAAAATCTATCAATTTTTTTGGCTTTTAGATACATAGAATGAGATTACAGTAGAGAGACCAGTTTTGAACATTCAAGTGAAGATAAAGTTAAGTTTGAAACTGACTCTACGGCCACCTGGCAGCCCTGAGCTGCCTCAGCTCAGATCCATCCTGCACTGAGGTTACCCAGGAATCTGAGATTATAGGTCTACCGAGTCAGCTGCCAGGAGACTGCCTGGTGTTACAGATGGAAATGATCTCATTTCAGTGGGAAGACTGTGGAATAAGAAATTACAGGACTGGGCTCCTGACACATGCAGTTTCAAATGAAAAAATAGTAATAGGAGAGAGGGAAAAAAAAATCTACAACACTCCCCAAGTTAAAACCTAACATTGGGAAGCAGTGGGAAGGCTTCCTTTTATATACCCTCTCTGCTACAAAGTAAATCAGCTGCTAATGACAAGGTGATCAGGGAGGCTACTCTACAGGAGAAGCCAAGGGCAGATCACAGCTGATAAGCCTTTTCCAGCTAAGAAGCATTACAAACAGAGCAAAACCTCCTCCGCAAGCATGATTCAGGCTAGCGAGTAGAAATCCCAACTATCTGCTGTCAAAAACTGGGGGCAGCAGTCTCCAGCATCCCAGAAGATACACACTTGCTATAAACCAAACAGATGAGGCACACAGAGGAAAAATAACAGCAAAAAAGAGAGAGAATGAGGTAACTTACGGCAATGAGCTGGTAGGAGTTGTTCATCATGGCTATAAGCATGTTCAGCAGCACGACAAGGGAGATGACATTGTAGGTCCCAAACATAGTGGCCCCGACAAATTCTGTGAACTCATGTCTGGCTTTCACGTTGGTGACGTAGAGATTGAGCAGACCGAACACAGACCAGAAGAGTGACTGGAGGGTTTCGAAAAGTCTGCAAATAGAACCAGATTTTTACTTGGCTACCTGACTCTGGGGAATGGAAAACAATGCTTAATTCAGGCTGGGCAGTACAGTACAGCCACTTATTCCCCCTGGGGGGCAGTCTGCACTCCAGCCACAGTGGCCCACTGGCCAATGCATCTGAGGGTTATGTCACAGCAACAACATTTGCTACTTGTCCCACAGCCCTGCCCACATCCTTGTGAGATGCAACGAGCCAAAGTGCCCTGAAGGAAGCCAAAGTTCCCTTTCCCACTCTACACACATGCAAAGAACAGCCACAATACATGCCCTTTAATTAAAATTGCCATGCTATGATACTGCTGTTATCTATAAACTCTCCCATTTAATCAGTGTCTGCATTAACATGCTGACTAAATGTTCAGGGAACCCATCCCCAAGTACAGCATGACCATAGTAGTTAAATAGTGCACAAAAATGAGGCACCACGAGGTAGGAGATGCAAGAAATCACGTCCACTCACATCTTTTGCTCTAATATAGGCTGAGAGCTTGCAATTACTTTGTTAGCAATGCACGTGGCCAAAAATGCTGGTCCCCATGGCTTGTTTGTGCAGCAGCTCCCACCCACCCCAGTGCGGGGCTCTCAATAGCACACTGCAACAATTGATCAGTAATGACTCAGATGAAAAAGAGTCATCACATTAATTCAGCTCCAGAGGTTTTCTTCTTTTGAAGTCTTCCTTCCATAGATGAACTAGACCTGACCTCACTGTGCTTTACAGCTGATGAGATCATCCCAGGTCTCTCTTTGCTTCAGCCAGAGACAAGTGACCTTTCACAATCACGTCAAATACATATTCAGCAATCTAAATAATGGCTCTATTTGGGCATCTTTGTTTTGGCTTTACAAAATATGGCATTTATATCATCAAAAAATGACATTTATATGCCTGTGTAAGAGTTTCCATTTTGGCCTGAGGTTGGCAGATATTTTCAAATGCTCCTACTAGAAAAATCAACACAAATAATTCAGATACTTCACTTGATATACCAGGAATCTGTTCTCCCAGCTTCTCCAGGCATCTGTTCCACATGTACCCTCATGTTTTATATGAAGATTTAGTTTCTTCAAATTTGTGGATGTATCTTATGTTTTTCACTGGCCAAAATTATAAAGACTCTTTAAAGCAAAACTCCTTTCTCCCAAAAGTCAGGCTGTTTGTTAGATTTATTTAATAAGTGAGGTGGTAAAACAAGGATTAACCACAGAATGCTAAGCATTTCTCCACTAAAAATGGTGGAGTGTTATCTATCTTTTTACTTATTTTAACTATTAGTAGTAGAAGTACTGATTAGGCTGTAGGCTCAGGGGAGACAGAGGTTCCTGTCATGAAACTGAAATCAGTCTTAGAACTGATCAGTGCATTGCTCTCAATTCACAGTATTAACCAGGAGCATAGTTTGGGCCCAGAACTAAGGCCTATGTATTTACATGTGGACATGTAGTCCCCCTTGAAAAAGAGAGCGAGTGGTTTCTGCAACTTTGCAGAGAAGTAAAGCCTAGTTACTCTTTCCTCGGTCTTTAATGACAGGCCGGAACTGCAGTCTCTTTTCACAGTGCTTCAGGTGGGGCTCACACTACTTTGGAGAAGCAGTTTTAAAAAACAAATTTTGGAAATTGTGATTGAGACAGCATCCCCTCCTGTTGAGCATATTTTACATCTTAAGCAACCAGGAGAAATCTCAAAGCTTCACCACTGTCCACAGCAGCTTAGAGAGAGCATGGGCTCCCCTCTGCCACAGGAACCCTCCCGACCTCCTGTAGTTCCTGGAGAAATAGCCCCAGTGATCAGCGAGACCCTCCAGGGAGAATGACACAGCAGACAGTAAGGTGTGACTTCCTCCACCCCTCCCTCCTCTTCCTCTCTTCTCTCTCTTTCAGTTGCCAGAATCACAGCGATAAACCTATTTTCAAATTGTCTGTCTAAGCAGTAGATACTCTGCTTTCTAAGGGATGGTGAGGCCAAAGCATAAATCCTTAAATTATTCATGACTTCACCTCATTGCTGTCACAAAGGAATATTACTTTTCTATGATCTATGTTTGCGATGCAGAAAATTTCCTCACCAAGAAAATATTAAACCCATCCTTTGGGAGTAATAGGAAATAATGCACCGGTAAATAGGTGTCACATTTTAAACAAGCTGTACAAACACGAGTGGCGTCCTGCTTTTCCTTCCCTTACAAAATTAGATCTTATTGTGTGACTGCCTAGAAATGCCGGTAGGAATCAAAGGGTATTGATTGAAAGCCCTTTTACATTTATTCTTTCATTAGGGATCAACTATGAGCAAACTTGAGGTAACACCAGCACTGATTTGAATTCACTCCAGCCATGCTTGCGCTCCCCAGCCCAACAATATAATTTTCTGTTTTGCAGGTTGCTCGTTCTTAGCCAGTCACCCATGCTGTGCATCTGCTCGAGGGCCAAATGTCAGCTTGTACTGGGGGTGTTAATAACAACTATTTAAACTTTTAAGAACATGTTAAATAAATTTCTTAAGCAAGTCTCAAACAAAAAGTAACTGCAGAGCATTCTGTCCCCTGCCAGGAGACCTCAGTCCTAATAGATCCCCTCCCACTGCGGTTTTGTTTTAAACAAACCTCTGCCATAAAGGCTGAGCCCCCTCAGTTTCCTTTCTGTGCTACATTCTCCTTGGCAGGGGTTTTAAACTAAATGTTAGGGTGGGAGAAATTGTGGTCTGTATTTAAGCTGATCTGCACACTTTCGGTGAAGTGGTTCTGTTCTAGTTCCCAAGATATTACACCTTCTTACAGACTTGGGGATATTTTTTTTTCCCCCTACTGACCCAACACTCTTTTTCTTTAGTCAAATCCTGCTGATGTTTTCTCTACTAACCTGATGACAGTGAAATCTGTAAAACAACTGGTTTGCAATGGAGAGAGGTCCCAGCCAGAACGCAGAACTGCATACATCTGTTCACCATAGCTCCAGGGAAAGGCAGGCTCTAGTCCTGAACTTTGTGGTTCTGACCCTTCATGAGCTACAATTTGCCACTTAACAAATACTGTGCTTGCCAAACATTTCTCCCCCTGGCTGCTGCATCAATATGGACATAGATCAAGGAATAGTATTTGTTATTTAATTCCTTTGCAAGGGCAGCACAACACATTTCTGGGACACGTGAAGCAATTAAAATAGAAAAAAGACCGAAGTCTTTAATTCTGTTTTTCATTAGCACAGTGCAATTCCATTCACTTCCTCCAGATATAGATGGGTTTAATTGGAAAATTAATCAAGCCTACGGTGTTCCTGCTCTGCAGTGGAAAACAGCAGCACATCTGGTCTTCCAGGTCATGATGCTCTCATAAGGCTGTACTCCATCCCATGAAAATCCCCCACTTCTTTCAAGGAGGGAGCCTGCAGGACAATGTTGGAGCCTTTCCTCTTCCAACCTATTCATGCGGCCTGAGCCATCATCTGCTTTTGTTAACAGTGCCAATATGTCACAAATCCTTTCTTAACCTCAAGCCTTCAGCTGAGGGAGGGTGGAGAATTATTGGGCATTAGGACAAGTTTTATTTAATTTAGCATAAAGTGGTGGACAACAGTTTTGTTTTGCTTGTTTGCAGGGCGTGGGCCTTTTTCTAGACCGTGCTTTATTTATTTCTCTTCCCATTGTGTTTTAAGTACGGTGCAAGCAGCAAGAACAATTGGGTGGGGGCTGATTATTATAATTATTTCCACTATTAGTAATTAAAACAAATACATCAGAAAGACAATTCATGTTATTTTTCAGCATGTGCTATCTCCTTTCAGCCCTGCCAGCTGTCACCACAGCAATTTCCATGCCAACATCTCAGTAAAGTACCAGCATTTCCAGCAAAATCCTTTTTGCTGGGATTTTAGTCTCACCTCACTACAAGGAGAATCAGAGAAGACCGCAATGTCATGTATGCATAAAAATGGCCCAGGTGAGATTGTTGTTGCTGCTGTATCACATTATTTATTAATTCCTTTTTTTCTAAATTTTGTTTAGCTTCCCCTCCTTCCCTCCGCAATCAGACAAAACAATTCTTATGGCAAAGGGATATGTGCTTTCTCAAATATACTGAAATTGTACGTAGCCATAATAAAATTTAAGTTGCAGGATCATGTAGGGAGACTCTTTGGTCCAGAACTAAAACAACTGTCTCCCACTCCAGACCTAAGTAAGAGTCTTTTCTGATAGCAAAGCTCAGCAGAACGTTTGCCCCAGTTAACTCACACCTTTCCTGCATAGTCAACCAGCTCACCTGATATTTGTGAATGAATAAATAAAGGCACTTTCAGTGCAGTGACAGACAACAGGCAAAGGCAGGTAGGACAGGGAACAGTGGAAGTCAACCTTAAAAACAGAAAGGAAAGGACATCTTACGTGGAGAAGGCATTGTTCTGTTTCTCACATCGGATCCCCTTGCAGTTGTTGGGCTCCTCCGAGGCACTGGTCTCATAATAAAAATAAAGCTGGTTCAGTCCATTGGCAAAAGCCAGAAGCACCAGACAATAGATAAAAAGGAATTTAAGGATGTCTAGCAGCATGCGTCCCAGAGAAATCTGCAAGGGTCCCAGGTGTGAATTTGCTGTAAACAGGGATATGAGACGCAAGGAACTTAAAATGTTGGATATTGCAAAGAGGGCTTCTGCAATGAGAGTCGGGTGCCACATTTCCCATTCCTCCCTTGGACGAGAACCGTTATACTGAAAGAAATAACAAGGGTATAAAAGTGAATTATGTTGTAATTGCTCTGAGATAACTCAAAAAGTCACACCTGCTAATACTAATGCTTCACATGTAAATACTAACCTGGTGATACAAGAAGGACTTTTTAAACTCTGAAATCTCAGCTCCTATCAGACTAACATTTGGGATTCAGGACTGAAGCTGACTTGATTAGGGCAGAGACTCAGGATTCATGATGCCTTCTTATGAACTCTCCCTACTAGATGATGACCCCCTGATATGGATAGTCGTGGGACCAACTTTTCTTTAGAGGCTTCTCATATGTTGGCTGCTCTTAGTCTAAATTTAGAAAACGGGCCTTTTGAATTTTGAGTTCACTGTTTGCAGATTCTTCAGGTCCATGGTTTCATACACAATCTCTTTCTCTTTCAACATTTAAAGGGGTTCAGTCTGCCCTTTATCAGGTTCAGGTCGGAAATTTCCAATTACCTTTTTTTTTCTTTTTTCCTCCTAAATATGATTGCACATTCAAAACACTATACATTCCAGGAAGAATGTGAGGGAGGGAGAAGGGAGGGAAGAAGGAAAGCAATGAACTATTGTGCGTAAGAAGTGGATGCTTTCCTTCCCTATAAATCTCAAAAAAGTGCCAACAGCCCAGAACCAAAATGCTTTCTTCATATTAATTTTCTTATTAGTTAATTTGTCATGGCAATTTTAGGAGAGTTGCTAAAGCAGAGGTCATAATTACAACTGAAACACGATACATTTGAGTGCATCAATTATAACATTAACTTGGTTTCTAATGTAACTGTAAAAGCAGAAGCATTTTCTGAGCAATGTGCATCAAGATGCAAATAGGTAACACAAAAGAGCTGGTTGTATAAATGTGACTACTCTGGCTTAACTCCACTGGCACAACAGAATGGAGTCAAAGACATTTTAACATCAAGGAATAATTGTCCTTTTAACATTTGTCTCTGCTCAGTTAACATGTATAAAAAGGCAAAAATGTACTTAGAATAATACAGCTAGTAGCGTATCCAGTGTGTTTAGGACTCCTAAAATAATTTTTGTACCTTTTAAAATTAAATGGTATCAACATCATACTGATAGATGAGTTTGCAGGGACTTTCTATTTAAATCTGAAGGTCCAATACACGAGTTCACAATTTTTTCAAGGACACAGCTAAAAGCAAGTTGATATTTCAAACTATTCTTCTGTATGAAGGAGCTGAGACATGATACAAAGGCATTTCAGCATGACCTCTGATTGCTTCTGACATTTCCAAACTGTTCTTTATTACACGAACATCATGGCCTGAGTCTGTTAACTTGAAGATGGGTCTTAAAATATTTACAAACAGGCAGACATGTTAACTTTTTGCCAATACCCAGCAGTGGGGGTGGATGGCTGTGACTGGAAAGCCTCCCCTGCCTAGAGAGCAGATTTGCACAGTTGTTTGCAGTTCTCTTCTGCATGCTGGCTGGACACAGCAGCCCAGGGGCTCTCTGCTAGGGGTTAGCATAGGCTGCATGTAAAGGCATGTGGAAAGGTCTTCTTCATCTCACATCTATTTTTAAAGCAACTTGTTAGGGTCATATTTTGGCCCTTTATAAACTGGTGGTGTATCCTTGCTTGGAAAACAGTAGTCTCTTCAAAGCAGCCTAGCGTGATAGGCAATAGAGAAACAGAAGATTTCAGAGGTATCTAATGAAGCTGGGTATCTGGGAAGGCTGGAGTTGTTTGGGTTAGGCATCAGAAGATGAAGATGAAACACAGCAGAGATATACACAGAACAGTAGAAGTAAGGTATGTCAGGCAGTCACATTTACCCTTCCTCATTACATGATAATTCAGTGCGGCAAATGAAAACTGAATAAGAAAGCATTTTTACCCTATAATTAGCCTGAAGGTTTTATTGGTATTGGACAATATTAGGGCCAGGTCTTGGAACTACTCAAATCAAGAAAAAAGAAAGTCTCCACATAAAAATAAAGATGGAAAACATTAGTGTCAGTATGCAATTTATTTTTCTGATATTTGGCAGAAAGCTAAATGTCCATGTAACCCTTTGAAGTTCTAAGAAGTGTTAGAATATGGTACATTGGCACATATACCAATCTCTTCCAGCTCGAGGCTGTTCTATAAATAACAAAAACCTTTACAAGTCATGTTGCAAAAGGTTTTGAAGCCATTATCAACGTTCTAAATCCTCATGTTTCAGTGCATACTGCAACCTCAAAGTGACACAGGTCAGAGGGAACTTCTGTGAGTATGCTGTTTCAAAACTACTTCTGTGTACAATTTTATGCACCTCTCAGAATTGTCTGACACTAGTCCTCATCAGGAGCAGACCTTGGATCAGCCAGGCTTAATCCAAGTGGGTCCGATTTGTACTCAAACAGATATATGCCTGTAAGCATTCTTTTGTGTGCTGGTATATAGGTCTTTGTAGTCAGCCTGTAAGTTTCTGTTGTTCTTACAGAGTATACAAAAAAAGTTGTATTTCCTTTGTACTTGTGGTTTGGCTAAGAGTTTAAATCTCAGTATGTGACTGTATAAATCTGTGGATGCACAGCTCTTCTAGTAATTTGTGTGTGAGAAAGAACAAGATTGTTAACATTTTAAGATTTGTTCGTGAATCTTATGATTTCTAGCATTTTTTTGTATTGCTCTCAGTTTAAAGACCAACCTTTCAAGTCTGTAATTTCCTCACTGGTTCTGAATGTTGGGAGGAAAAAGGCGTAATCTGTCCCTGCTTTGATGCTGCTACAGAGCTGCCTCTTCAGGAACAGCAACTCTCTTAAAGCTTTTCCTTTTGAAAAACTCACTCACCACTATGCAGCCTTCTGGATTTTAAAAAGGCCCCATAGCAAGACTGCTTGCTGAAGAGATTATAAAAGCCATACCATTTTGGAGCCAATGAACTTTGTGAAATTTTCTCCTATTCTCTCTGCCTGCATACATGCCTGGGCAGGACTAAACAAGGTTGCTTTGGAGAAGTGCTTGTCCTAGTTATTAGAACCTGTGGTAAAAGGAGTAGTATCCTTCTACCAGGGCAAAACCAACACAGAAGCTCAGCAAACCTAGAAAGCATTTAGGTGGCCAAGGAGCAAACTGCAGTTAGTTGACTTACACCTGCGTAATTACACTAACTGTAGTGAAGCTTCTGCTAATTTATACCAAGAAAAGAATCAGGCCAAGCATGCAGCTCCAACCAAAGTCAGAGAGCCACTACATAAGGAAGTTTGCAGAAGGTCATTTGTGCCTTGTCTGTGTCTCTGAAAAAGAGAGACAGAAGGAGAGTGCTTCAGGCAACCCTCTGGCCTCATAACATGGGCATATGCTAACTTGGAGCACCAGAAGTTTACACATGTAGAAGGTACTTTTGAGGATGAGCTCTGATGTGCATTCTCACCATAAATGGAACGTGACAGTGAAGAATCTACATGGTGTTAAAGCTCCAGCATGCTCCTTTGTCATTTCCTTGCCTATAGTTTAAAACTATATATTGAATACAATAAGTTGACTCCCTTATGTCTGATGGAAGCTTCCTACTAGTGGGCTTGCTTTTCTCAGTAGACTTTTCACAAATTTCTCATTAGTAATCTACAGATCTGCAGGAGTACAGATTATGAATCTTGGCTGTAGATGTTTTCAGATATCCCTATTCTTGTTTTTCCTTTACTGTTTTATTTAAAAATCACATTTTGACTATGTCTAGCATTGTTGAAAGAGGTCCAGTGTCAGTATGGAAAACAAAACGTATCTTTGGCAACTGAGAAACTACAAAACAGACAGTAAGGGAAACTTCTACCCAATGCCCAAAGAATCTACTTCAGTCTTAATCAAGGACTGATGATCAAAGGATGAGAAGGTCTATCATTCTCCAAACAAATTAATAAGCTTTCCAGGTAAATTTTCAAAACAGGACTGCTTGAAAAACAGCTATTCTGTTTGTTCTGTGATTTTGCTTTTGACAACTCTGTGTACTACAGTTCTTACAAGCAAGTTACAAATTCTCTCTCTCAAATTACTGTACCTTGACATAGGCAACAATTTTAAGGGAGATAGTTGCAAGATAGAGGGAGTTCATTGCAAAATCCATCAGATTCCACCAGTCATGCACATACTCATTGAATCCACCATCCCACATTTCCTTGATTTCTCCCCAGATAAAACCTGTAGAAAGAAAGAGAGTTCATTGTCATGACGAGGTATTATTTGTCATTAAAGCACTGTGTATATCTGATGTAACAAAAGGCAATTCTAAATTAACAGCTTCGATAAAATGTCTCATCCCTCCTGTCTTCTGCAAAGTATAATACTGCTGATTATGAGACATTTTATAACTCTGTGGGGAACGTAGTCTAGAGAGATATGAGAAAGACCTAGGTTTCCTATCCAGGGCTCCAGATATACACACACAAGGAGACTGCTTGAAACATATGTTAATTATAACTAATATGAGTGGATTGGCTCAGATGAAATTTGTTCTACATGAATAAGCTACTTAAGCAACTCTATTTGGTGTAGTTTCTAATAGATTGTCTGCTCTCGTAGAAACTGTAAGTAATCATCAAAACCATTACTTGGTTGGACTGCACTGATTTTTCCTGACCTCTGCAGAACTTGCAACACTAGTATTAGCTTCTGCATGCCAGTACATTTTCCCCCTGACCTGGAAATATCCCACCAAAGAAGGAAGAAGTGAATTCATTCTCTATGCTCAGTCACTGTATTTATGTATCTTGCTGCACAAAAAGCCCATAGGGACTATTTGTGAAAAAAGGTAGGACTCAGCATGAAAAAGGGCACCACGGCCTGGCATCACATCGCTCAGCAATGACTCACCTAATATCCAATATGGCTATGGGTTTTGCAAGGTGAGTATCTGTTCCCAAGGATACAGCCAGAGCCCATCATCTCAACTCTGAAATGCCTTCTAGTAATAATTTTTGGCACCTGCTAACTTTCACTAGACCTCCTCACAGCTGGAGGGGTGAGGGGCAGCTTCTGAAGTTCATTAGCCAGACTGCTAAACTCACCTGGCATACAATTCTTATTTTAAGTAACTTACATGTCCTTTATTGCAGAACTGATTAAGTATTTTTGAGAGCCTAAGTCCCATTAAAAAACAAATGGCACCTAAGCTTCTTCATCACCTACATGCTTTTGGGAATGTCATTAGAGCCGCCAGATATTTTGAATTACCCAGTTTACAACATTATCCTTGAATGAAGACCTGAAACATATGTGAAAAGAAAAAAACCCAACAAAATACAGCTCCAGGTGCATTACCAATATAGTTACCCAAATTGCTATCCATACCTAACCACAGGGTACTGCAGTAGTCACTTGCTACTTGCAACTCAAGTTTTAGGACCCCAGAGTTCAATCTGAAGAGCATATAATGTTGAAATGAACTTCTGCAAACATCCAGATATCAATCTTGGCTCTTCAGCTACTAGCCAGCAGGTCAATGGTCACGCAAGCATAATGTCAAGGCCAATAAGGTAATTTTATTAGAGCTGCCTCCCAATCTTTTCATGCACAGAAAAACATAAAATAAATCAATGGAGAGGAGCCTGTTCAAGAACTCATATACTGTATTTATAGTGAGTTATCATTGCTGGTTACTATAGTTACAGCAATGCTGTGTGTGCCTGTTCTTGCTCTCCTTTTATTGTGGAAAATATTTCTTAAATAATAACCTTTAATCTGGTGAAACTGTTCTAATTTCTCCATTTAATAAACAGTCCCATAATATCCCTATTTATCTGAAACAAAGGAACTCAAAAAGAAGAGCAGACAGCTGTAAGAGGTGATTTTGAAAGGGTTTTTTTAATGGATTATTCCTCTTTCATCTGCAAATCAATTTTGCTGAAATGCCTACCATTTCCCTCAATTTTAACCATGAAGTTAAGGATAGAGTGAAGTGATCACCTAAACTCAGAAAAGACATTTAGCCTTTCTCAGCTTATTCTGAAGTTTCTACTAACACATGCATTTCAATGCCATTAATCAGTTTAATAAGATAATGAAGCCTGAGTTACCATTTGTAAATTGTGGTAGAGCTATGCAAGGAGCAAAGTGCCCTGGGTCACGATGGAAAGTGATTTGTGAACCTGTTTGCAAATCTTATTTTCTTTCCTCATTTTCCATCAGCAATTTTAGGTTTGGCATGGGGAACAGCCAGGTTTGTTCAGCACAGAACCAGCCTGATCCAGAGCAGCCAGAGAAATGAGGAGCGGGGAGCCAGCAGGCACAGGAAAGCAGGGGTGGACCCGTGAGAAGCACTGAGCAGCTGTAAGGAGAGCTCCAGAGATTGAGGTTTGTGAGAGGTGTCCTCAGAAAGCATCAGCGTGGCCTTCCAGCCCACTGACACCTACTACACAGTCACAGTTCACTGTTACCTGACCTCTGGGGTTTAGCACTGAACTGACCTGGGCTGTATGGACAGAGGCTGGAGGAGAGCAATAAAGGTGTGGAAACCATTGCCCCTGAACAGGCCTCCCAGTAACATCTCAGCTCACAGCAGTGCTCCGTGTTAATGGCACAGCAAGGGAGATGGGTGCTCAATTAGAGGAGAGATTATGTTTCTAACGAAATTCACTGGTTTTCACTTGCTGTTGTGTTGAAACTCAGTTTGAAAGGGTAAATACTTCTCTCACAAAAAAAATATATCCAACTATGCTTTTCTGCTCTTCTCCCTCAGTGGCTCTATCCGCTTTCTCCCATCCCATCTCACTACCTCAGCCATACATCCTGCCTTCTGGAACATGGACACCTCCTTTTCTTCCCAGTTGTGGCTGCCCAAGCCAGGCTGGAATAAGAACCTCACGTTTAACCGTCTGATAGCAAATACTCCCTCCTTCTCCTGCTTCCATCAGAGTACTTGATATTGATTCAGTGTTTATCAGCACAGAGGCATGCAGAAGAGTGAGATTTATCTTCCCTTTTCTGTCTTCCTGTAGGCTATTTGGGAGTCTGGGAGCCCAGGAATAAAGAGGCCTGGTACCTGCGCGCTGGCTCTGGGATCAGGTCAGTGACCAGGTGAAAGCAGAGACAGGTTCTTGGTGCTGCCTTCTGCCACGTACCAGCCAGCAGAACTAAGCCAGCATGAGCAGTGACACTATTTGTTACTGGCGTGACCCAGAAGCTAATTCCTAACCTGTTCCTCACATAGAGCATGGGGGAAGCAGGGAGGGAGCTGCAACTGCTGCGGTTTACTCAGGGTCATGTCTAAAGGCATGTCAGATGGCAGTATGAACAGCAGAAGAGCCCTAGGCCAACAGGATCTGTTGTTCCAGAAGGAGCCCAGCTGTTTTATGCAGTTACTGAAGCTGGCTGCCAAATCTCTTTACACGCTGATGATGCTGAGATCAGAAATGAGTCTTCACACAGTTGCCACGGGTGCGAGTCAGGCGACTGCGGCTCAGGCATTTTTGTGTTTCTGATTTACCTAGAACCCAGGGCAGGATCATCCACTCCACGATGGTGGGAGGTGGTCCCTGCATGTGAAGGTCAGTCCTGACGATGTGCTGCGACGCCAGCAGGAGCATGAAGAGGAAGGTTAGGTAAGAGCCGGTGTGGCAGATAAACTTTATAAATGGCTTTTTAATGAACAGTCCCAGCCTGCTCTTCGGTGCAATCAGATATGCCACAGATAGCACAGGAAATAGCAGTCCAATGGTGACACAGGTCAAGAGTTTTACTGCCCAGTGTTTCCGCCTCCATCCTGGAAAACCGTCATACCAAAGTGTTGCTAGTAGTTGCTGGCAGTTTGGCTGAGCAACAAACTGAGGAGGAAAAAAAAAGAAAGATTATTACTGACTGGTACTTCATGTGCATTCCCCTTCACACATGTGTTCGAGCCCACACAGACCCTCATATTAAGTTTGGGGCTGGCTTAGGGGTGGAAAAGCATATTTTGGAGACAGAGGGAAGACAAAGGATATAAGATTTCTTCTATGAGTTTTTTTTTCCTATTTGAAGCATCCTTATGTAGATCAGTCACTCACCACACATGAAGCCTCATGCAAAAGTGATACAACAAAAATTACTACAAGCTTTTTCTTTTCCCATGTGTTTCTCTTTCAACCCATCTCTTTTCAGAGTATTTCTTGTTTCGATTGCCTCAAACAAATCACTGTCAGCATCTTTAAGAAGTGACTAAAGATGAGACAGGAGGGAAAAGGTGTAGAGCTCTGAGAGTGTGTGTGTGTGAGAAAGGGAGAGAAAATGTCTCCAGAAGTGTGTGGGGTGCTACACGTGGTTTTGTGCAAGAAGGCCAGCATATGTGTGTGTGGGAAGGGCTGGGCATGAGACAGCATGCAGTAATGCAAAGTTCAGTCAGGTGACATCTGTTGGGAAGCAGGACAGCACATTTGTAAGCGTGCCTCGCTATTAAGGAACAGAGTAGTTGTAAAATGTAGGAGATTAAGCAGTGGCAAAAAAAAATCTTTGATCACAGTCCCAAAAGTGACATTTGAAAGTTTACTTTCACTCTGTAAAAAATAGCATTATGATGGTGATTTATTGCATCTCAGTGACTCCATACCAGACATGCTCAGGCTGCAACTACTTCAGATGGTTCTAATACCTAACAGCCTTTGGAATTTCAAACTCAAGCCATGGTATTTCTGGTCCATGCCAGAAGACTTTATGTTCCTGATTATACCTGGGCAGCCCCATGATTTTCAAATTTTTTCAGCCACAGCTAATTAGAGATGTCTGCAAGATCAGGACAACTGTGTTTTTCTTTACATATTTGATTTCTAATCCATTTTAATGAAGTTGTTCTTCTGATCTACTAAATTCAGATTTCTCACTGGGCTCTGCAAGTTCAAAAGAAAATCTCAACTATTGTTCTGAGATGTTTATTATGCTCACTATGCTGTAATTAAACCAAAAAAACTGTCCTAGCATGGATATAGTTATTGATAAACACACTCCTATAGCAATATAACCACATCTATGATCAGACACAGCCATATGATAAAGAATCACACTTCCAATGGACACAATAGTACTAGCAGCATTTATCAAGGAAAAGAGACCTCTTATAAAGGAGACTCGGAGCGGTGAGTAACCTGAAGCTGACAGTTCTGTTTATTACACTTGGCTGGTCCATATTTAAAAGGGATCTCTGGGAGGGATGAAATGCCACCACCCTCTTCTTCCCCCCCCAGGGAAGATTTTATCAGGCAAAGCACTCTTTCACCACTACAACTTAAACCAGCTCTTGGAAGGACTATGCCATGGTAGCAAAGGGACCAGCTTCTGAATAAGAGTCTTACTGTTTTGCCACTTTGGATTGGTATGATTTTTTGACCCTGGCAGAAGTCCCTACATACTCACTACTGCACTCAGTGTAGACATGGCCTGGGCTAATACTGGATCAGCCATCACATGTTCATTTATGAGACAGTTACAAGGCTCCTCTCATCCTGTGTAAAGATACCTAGGAATTCCCATAAGCCTTAGTCACCAGGAGATCAGATTTGGTGAGAAAGCGACAATTCCTTAATAAAAGCTTTAGCACACATTTCTCTCAAGTATTTGATCACCACCAAAACTGCCCAATATTGGGAGGACTTGTTAAGCGCAGGTCTTGGAGTGCTCTACACAAGCAGAGCGCTATCATTGCCATGTTCAAAATTGCTAAACCAAGGTCAAGCAAAAGGAAAAATTAGTTGCTTAGTCTGATAAAGTCATTCATTTCTGTAGGAATTCTTAGATTTTGTGAATATATTTTATATACTATAACAGGTTGTTTACATCAGAATCAGACCATTTTTGGACTGGGTAGTTCAAATATATGGACTGACTAAAATTAGTATTGAAAATAAGATCTCCAAGAGAGATCTCTGGCATTTATGAAGCTTGATGTTTGTGTGTTATTACGATAATAAACAAGACTGCTGCATCGAACACACAAGCACCACCGTAATCCAAAGGGCATCAGAAAAGAAAATCAGAAAGGCATTTGATTTGAAATCAACCTACACGTGCATGCTGCAGAAACTGTTGATAAGGCAATGATCTCCAGAAAAAGCCAAGACCTGTTGCCTATAGCGATCAGAAATGTTATTGTAAAATTCCAATGCTGGGGACAGGGATGAAAGAAACAGTTCTACAGAAACGGAAGAAACATCAAACATCAATTGTTGTGTGGTTGGTTGGTTTTTAATCTATGATTTCAGAAGGGTCATCCTGTTATGTCTAAAAGCTAGAAGAAACGGAAGGTTACACTGCTATTTTTTCTCATTTAAGATCACAAACAGGAGCTGTGACCAGATGTGTTCTGCGGTAATTTACATGGTAATAGATGCTGCTGTTTCTCTGAGATGAGGTACAAATTTTTTTTTTGAGGGTGAAAATGTATAAACACATTTTCTCTTTATCACATATGATAGAAAGCTCTAAGGGGAGAATAAAACTGTTTTTCCCTTGAGTCAAAGTCAAAGTCATCTGAGAAATCAAATGACTATATGTTCCTCTGGTTGCTGTGCAACTTGCAAGCATCTTAAAAGTGCCTCTTCTCTGCCTAATAGCTTATTTCTAAAATCTGCTTTCTGTGTTGTATCTGTTGTTAGTTCTTCAAATGGAGAGAAATTCACACATCATGAAAGAGCAGCTTTAAAGACCAGCTTGGCAAAAGGGAATGGAAATGGAAAAAGCCATTAAATTTTCCAATCAAGCCCATTCCAACCTCACTGAAAATGGCCTAAGGGAAATTTAAGCACACCACAGAAAGAAACTTTCCCTAATGTCACAAATCCTCAAATGCTGTCTTTATTAAACATAAGGCTAAGCCCTTACCAATGTAGGCTTTTAATAACTCATATTAGTCCAATTTATTAATCACAGATTTAAAATTAGTAAATACTGCAGCTTAGATCTCAAGTAGTGCAAGGACTACTGTTGGCTGAAAACCAAAACTTCCAGTGTGCAGAAACACTGGAATTCTGAATTATAATGAAGAAGTCAACTAAGCCCTTGGTGTGCTGCCTAAAGAACCAACTGATTTCACTAACTCTGTGTTAACTTGAAAGAATACAGAAAGTAGCTGTTTCGCTAAGTAGTCCTGTGAATGTCGGCCTCATCTTTGCTTCTAGGTGTTGTTACCTAGATTAAACCTTCAACTTCATTGACTAAACTATTGAATGCTCAACTCACTAAAGATTGTCTAGGATTCATACTGCTAAATCAATGCACTAAATATAAAAACATTTAAAAGCTCAGCTTTAGCCCCTTTAGATGTGAAGTAGCCTGAAACTGTAATAATATCACGGAACTTTTGTTATCTTCCATAATTTCAAATTTCTTCATAAAGTCAAGGAAACAATCTTATTTCTACTTTGCGAACAGACAGAACTGAGATCTGGAAAAGCAAGCCAACTTCTCCAACACTACTTATGCCAAGGCCTTTCCAGAGTACAAGTTCAATTTCCATGTAAGTAGGGTCCAAATATATTTTTTTCACCTTTTTGCAAAGCCTTTCATTTGCCATAGATAGAAATGGCGCATGTGTATATCATAGTATTTTATCATTTCACATGAACATACCATATGTAACAGGATTTGGTATCTGTTAAAGTTTCTGCACAATGAAAATGAAAGTTTGTAATAATTTAAAAAACTGCACATTGTCCCAGTTATGTAGATGGTCTGGAATCAGAGGCAGATGTACTGTACCAGAAGCTCTCTATTTGTTTAAGATGAGCACATGACTTGCAAACAGTGTATTTCTCTGATACATAACAAGCACGGTATCAAGCAATTTTTTCAAGGAGCCTCCAATCTCTATTACAAATGTCAGCACAAGACATCATCCCACAGACATGATGGAGAATGTTCTGACAGCTGCATTAATGAAAAGAAAAGCTTCCAAAAGGCGGCATTTATACTCAGTTCAGCTAATGTATGAACTAAACATTCAATGCTATGAAGCCGTTGGTTGTGCTGGCATAACATTGTCCAGGGTTGTCCCTACCTGTAGACAAAGCCTGTAGATGCATTTCAAGGGGGATAATCCAAAGAGCAAGCTCCTTCTCCATTGCCTGTTGGGCAGAACCTGCTCCTAGCTGAAGATGCAGTTCATTTAGTGACTAGGAGATTAGATGCAACTCAGAGTATCTTCTTATGAGGACAATGCCACTGTGTCACCAGTGTGCAAGATGCTCAGTCTCTTGGCTTCTGAAAATAGGGATAAGTATCCTTGCCCTTCCAAGAAGTGAGATCAGCAACTTCAATCATGTTGGGAAGCACTTTGAGGGTAGAGACTACTGCAATACAAAGTCTTTTATGTTCTTTCTTCTTTCAGTCTTGCCAGGGTCTTTGTGTAACATTTGGCTTGCAGCTGGATTGTGCTATTAGAGAATTTAATTTTCAATGTTCATCATACTCATTGTCACTTGATCCTCTACCAAGGGGAAAATTTTTAAGGGAAAAAAGCAGCTGCTGGATGGAGTGTCTTTGTCTTAATTTCTAATCTTTACTGATATTTTTATGTCACCTAATTTCTACTTCTCAGGAATTAAATGCTTTCTGCATACTGTGCCATTAATATAAATATCAAACACAGAAATTATGTTCCACCCCCCCTCCCCTTATCTATGGGGAAATCCCTTATCTCTCACAGTCATAAGTAATTTAGGATCAGACACAGATGGGCTGAGATGTGAATGCCTCAGGGAGCAACTGAAATAGCTCCCTGATAGACATCACAGGGGCTGAGCACAGTATCTGTCTGCATTTATTCTGATTATTGTGAAGGCTGCCAACAGGCTCTTCT